CTTGCTGACCAACCCTTGGTAGCCAGTCTTGGCCCATTTCTGACCCGTGCCTGGTAACCAAAGCTCATGTTTCAACATTGGCTGAAGCCTGGCTTAACCATTGGGTGAAATAAGGCCCAAGCTTGGTTGCCAAAGCCTAGGCAAGTCTAGGTTGAGCCAAGCTTGGACCAGTTGTTGGAGCTTGGAATTCCTACCTGGGTAACGATGATATATTGCCATCGGCACAAAATAGTCAAGGAATTATGAAAAAATTATCAGTTCACAGTTCAAATTTGTCTTGGTTTTATCACGTGACGTCGAATGCAGTTCAATCTTATTGGCTGACGATGAGGTTGGAAAAATCATGGAGATTATTTTTACCAAAATTTTTGTCACGAATTTTTGACAAACACGTAGCAATTTTTCTCATGGTAATAATTTATGAGTAACCGTTGGTTCATTAGAAGATCTAATCTCCTAGCATTATTCCTAAAGACTCAGTAAGTTCAACTGAGATCCCTCAATAGGTTTTCATGAGCACTTTTTTCTGGCTGCATATGAACAAGTAATGTAAAATGAAATTATGGAATGTTACATACCGCTGACACTCTCGTGGGAGCAGGGGACGCGTGAGTATGAGCTACGGAATTTGACCCGCCGAGTAATGTGCGGTTACCGAACGTTTTTCGTCTGTTATTACTATGTGCGATAGATACACCGATGCTTCACATATCCAGTTGACACTATTCGGCAGTGTAGCTCTGTCCTGGATTGTCTGAAAAATAAATGATGAAACGTTTAATGAAAAGCAGAAATAATTGAATATAGATTCACTTTTATTGTCATTTTTTATATCAATAACTTGATTTATCTCACTTAACAATTATCTTATGTAATACTCTCGGACATTTGAAATCTATATACACGCTACACGAAAATAGACAGAGAGGTAGGAGCAACGGGGGTTATTTCCTATTCCTCTTATTTTATTGCTTTCAATGATCCTCCGAGTGACGTATAGACGATGTTCTTTCTTGTGCCCATAGAAAATGAAACTTTACAGTTAAATTAAGTGGGAATTTGCCTGTACAACACTGGAAAGGAAAAGTTTCGATGAAGTATATTTATAGGATTGAATATCATTTAATCTTGTTTCCTTGATTCAAGTTGAAATTCACTCGAAAGTATACGCACACATTTGAATATAGTTTTACTATTGTTCTGTTATCCTAGCGCAATTCAAACATGTATTTACTTGATTACTATAATATACAAAATTTTACCATCACCACATTTTATAGGGCAATTGTCACCATGTAGAGTAATAGAAATTACATTGCTCTATACTATAGAGTCTATAGTAACCAATTCGTTACTATTGACGTTACGTTAACGAACAAATAAAGCCGAAAATTTCTCTGAACTCGCTTCCCCTACAACCCTATATGCACGCGACTATAACGGGAGTGTAGTGTAATCGACCAAAAATAAAATTGCAATTCACTTCGAAATTCTCCATTAGTGAAATAATTCAGCTCTCAGGAAGATTACCTTAGTTGATGAATTTCATATCACGAATCATTTTAGTCCATTACATTCTACCTTGTTTGGGATGAACCATATTATTAAAAGGACGGTTATGAAAACATGAATGTAAATTTTTCCACCAAAGCGGTGAGAATGTTGTTAAGTTAGTAACCTCGTAGCGCTGGTTCCTCTTACGAGGTTTTCGCCATTAAAACCAGCGATGAAGGTATCTCAAGAGGCTTGGTGGTTTTAAGCCCCCTAACGTTGTTGAATCTTAGATCAAATCATGAGCATGAACCCATCCGACCATTATATTAAAAGTATAGATATCAAACAACACACCATTCTTCCATAAATCAAGGTGGCAGCAGGGGAAACCATGCTACAGTATCCATGCAATATTATAAGTATTTTATGGACCGGACGTACGATATAAGAGTCCAGATTCACTACGAAAGGCGTCTCACATTTCCACCATTTTGATTTTACACCGGAACGATAATATCCGGATTTTTTCGAAATTAATAGGACGTTTGATTTCACATTTTCGAGCTGATTACAACAACTTCTCTATCCCCACAAGTTCATTAGTCTAGTCTTCCACAAATTCACGGGAATCGGTGGATTGTGAAAAGGTCATCATTTCACCCTGGATAAATTGACCGTTATTTTCCACTTTATCGATAATAAATAGATAAATAATAAACTTTTTCTCCCATGAGAGTTGAATTTTATCTTGAAGAGAGTTGTGCCAAGTTTCTGTATACGTGAGTGCATGTTTCGGGATGTCTTCTACGTCTGTATATAAGAGGGGTGGAAAGTTTTGACAGTCTCATAGTTATCCATTGTGAGAAGAGAATGTACAAATACCATTCGCAAGTTTTCCAGTAAAGTGATGCAAGCTTGCAGCTGTATTAGCCGAAACATAGCATTAAATTTGTTGCTGTGGGGTAAGGGGAATGAAATTTGAGTTGTTTTAATTAGGAATGTTGACGATAAGAATAGTTATTCACACATTTCACACAATTATTCCTAATGAAATTCATTCATTCCCACAAGTACTCTTCATTGGTGTTAATAAGAAAATCATAAGTCTTGTGAGAAGATTGAAATTTCTGAGACGTTTCCTAATGTCGTGGGTAACGGTAAAAGACCGACGACTTCTAATCTCTGTCAGAAATAACTCAATGTCTCTCACTCCCTTTTCACTCTTTTTCAGGATTCTTCATGCAACAGTGCAAAATGAACCACGCAATAACTATTGTCCTTTTCCTTGCACTGGTTCATCCTTGCTGAGCTATTTCATTCGTGTCATAATGTTGAGAGACATTTTTCATTTTAAATCTTGAAGACGCTCGTGAAACTGCCGCCTGATATTTCACTCTGGATATATCTCCTGATGGAAAAAATAATGGAAAAAATGGCCAAGTGCGACACTCGTAAAAAAGTAGAGAAGAGGAACAAGAAAGAATAGGATGAGAAGTATTGGAAAAGTTGAGAATGAAAAGTTTTGGTGAGAAGGGGAAATTATTTTTCTTTCACTCTCCTCTCATTTCTAGATAGGATGGTGGTTCCACAACAGAATTCATAAATATAATCATCCTCTCGGAATAACGTTGGGCAAAGAGACATTAATGAAGTTGGATTGAAATGTTCAATTATTATTATACAATGCCGAAGATAATTTAATAAACATCGAATAAATAATGGAATCAACAGGGGGCAAAAAACATATAATTTGAAATAAATTTCGTTAGTTTTAGAATAACATATTCAGCGAATAATAATAATGCGAGAAAAAACTAAGAATTTTATATTTGACCACTTGAGGATTATCAAGGGATTATCAAGATTATCAAGAGTATAGTCCTGCACTTTTATGTTCCATATTTTTCTGTTCATTTATATTTATATTGATAGATGGCGCGTGTGTCATACGATGCTATATACTGTCCAATATACTCTTTTACTACATATAGCGCTTTATACCTATAAAAATCTTGATTGAAAATTTAAATTTAAAGGAGTTTTCAATTCAAATTAGCAGCCTCAAACAACTGAATCAATGAAGAATAAGCGTGACGGGCTTTCGAGATATTGATAGTCTCGATGTTTGTTCTTTTTATAAAATCGAATTGTCATGAGTTATGAATAAACAGCCCATTCGACACGCCAACTAGTCGTTCAGTAGTTACTACCGAATATCCAGTTGTTATGTGTAACATCAACCGTATTCTTGTATTAATGTATATAATAAGAACTCAATCTCAATTCGCCCAAATCCAATAAGACTATCGAATGTTGAATTGCAATTATCGGCCTGATAAATATACCTAATTATTGGATCTGTCAATAAGGCATGAGCTTATTAGACTTGAAACTTCGGGACAGCTACGCGATGGATGTAAACTTGAGACGAAAATGGGAAGGAAAACTTTAGGACGGCAAAGTAAAACACATAAGACACTCGTTCGTTCCGCAGTAAAAAAGAACTTATAAGTTTATGATATTGTTTGGGAAGATGCAATACTTTTATAAAATTATAAAATCGATAAAACAGTTCTTAGGAAGGTCAGGAAGGAAGGAGAATTTCGGAGCTTATTAAAAGGTCTCCGGGAATCAATTGATTTGTCGGTAAAATTTTGAGAAAATTCCATTTTTTCGTACATGTCCGTAGGTGGAAGTAATTGTAATGCAGAAATCCAAGGTTGACGTAATTCTTCTTCAGTAGACAAACGGGAGTGGAAAATCCTTTGATCCTTATTGATAGAGTAGAAAATCTTCAGAGGGTTGGTTTCAGGACAAGTATGATAAAATGGCGGAAGTTTTCATGTAACAACAAAAGATAAATAAATATTATCTCAATGTATAAGGTAACAGGATGATTTACCGTAGTAGATAACAGTTGATAACTTATTGAAAACGAAAAAGACGAAAATATAGTCAAATAGCTCCATCGTAGTTCCTAGCATTTTTACACATGAGATAGTATTTTGACTACATGTCTCATTATTAATGAAGAATCAATGACTGTACAATGCCAAATATAAATATTTACAAAAAATGAACTGGTATTGTAATCGATCAAGCATGATTTTTGTTGTTAAATGCAAAAATTTGCAATAAGGTTTTATATTAACATACTTTTAGAAACGATTCCCAATATCCATTACTCCTGATGAATACCATGAATAAAGACATAATTTATCAATCATTCATTCCCTGAATGGTGAATCCGATGCAATTGCTATTTACCTTCAACAGTAATATTGCCCTCTTCACCGTCAAACCGCCAACGTCCTCTGCGGTTGTAATCGGATCGAATTGCAGAATTTCATTGTCGGATCTTGTCAATTGGATTACTAGAGCGAATATCAAAGGCTTACTTCACCATTTCTCGCTGGTAATTGTGAGAATTTTCTTAATTCCCCCCAACTCCTGGAATCTTAATTGAATCGATACCGAATTGGAGTTAAGAGTTGAAAAAAAAGTAACGTCGTTATTGCCTTTAGTATCAGTCAATTTCTGTATTGCACTTTGCATGTATCTAAGTATAAAAGTTGATAATACAGCAATATAAAGCCTCAATAATTTACCGTGTAATAGTTGTATCGCGCTACATTGCTGTTAGCCGTAATACGACATCTCCAAATGGATTTACAATTCTCCAACAACTCAGACACTTATTTTCAGCCTAAATAATTCACATGATGTACGTGCTACCCCTCTATATCTTTCTAAAATCTCTTCTGTGCGATATCATAAATAATTAAGAGACATTTAGTGACATTGTAGTATGAGGTTTCTAGGAAAAAACATCAAGATACGTTAAAAATGAATTATTTTTAAAAAGTTTGGCATCGCAATTTTTGTCAGTTTATTTTTTAAAAGTCGTAAAAATATCAAGGAAACAAGTTTAGAGTGTTTGAGAAAAGAATTGCATCTGACTGGAAAGTTATAAAAATACTTATAGCGAGTATACCTATATTATATCTCATTAGAATATTCCCAATTTCTGCTCGATACATTCATATTTCATTATTTAAACTGAAAACTGTATAAATTAGACTGTATAAATTAGAAAAAAGAAAAAATCAAATTGAATCAATGAGTGATCCGAAAAACGGAGAGAAAAAGATATAATACCTTCATTTTATATCGAAGTACAATTTATACTTTTCAAAAGTTTGTATACAAGGTTGGATGAAATACTGAATCAGAATAATTTTTGGATTTCCCATAAGTAAG